GGGTAAAAGGTCAGGTCTATGATCTGGGAGTAGTGGTATTTTTGTTGTATTTTACTTTATTTTTCTCATATATTAAATGGCTTTATAATCCTTCATTCAGAAGAGTATGAAAAGGGGCATGATAGGCAGTGCAAACACCGACACCCTGCCGCTCGCTGAGGACCTCGGAAGTGGGCGTGGCGAGTGACAGGCGTCGTTGCCCCTGGCTTCAGCGTGCGATAGGGGCCCCTCCCCGGGTTATCTCACACCGTGCCGCCATCATAGCAGCCCCCTCCGTTGTTGCTCGAGCCAGCGTCCCAGCAACCCTATCCAGACCTTCGCAGACCGTTCGAGTGGATTCCTCCATAGCTGCCGCCATCGACGATATGGTCTGCGATGATTCGCCCCTGCAAACTCTCCCTGAGCTCGTCCTGCGAGTCTTCGGAGCGCTATCGGAAGCTTCGGTGCCCCCGCCTTCAGACCCCGCCTCGCTGCCCGGGGCAGAACCGCTCCCTCTCAAATCCTCGGACGCCATTGTGTTGTCCATGGTGAATGCTGCCTTCAGGCGGTACCACTCCATTGCATCCCACAATGGCCTCTCAAAAGTTTGACTGATGTTCAACTTCTTTCTTTCATCCGTGGTCAAGTCCCAGTATGACTGTTTGCCCGATCCTTCGCACGCATCCCTGATCTCCCGAACCTTCTTCTGCAGCTCGACCCATTTCTTTCGGCAATCCTCCCCTGTGCGTATGTACCCCTCCTCTTTCATCCGATCTGCAATCCAGTCATAACGCCTTCCCTTTGTCATAGACTGAGGAGCTCCTTCCGCATCAGACATGAGAGCATCGTCCTCGCCGCTGATTCTCACCAGAAGCAGTCGTTCCTCCAACGTTCACAGTGTGTTTTTCTTTGGTTGCGCCGATGACTTCCCCCCCTTTCGCCGATCACCAGTAATCGCTACCCCCTCCGCTCGTGCTGTTCCACCTTCTGCCCCGCTTGGCACTGTCGTGCATGACCTTTGTCTGCCGTTCGTAACTGTGTCCGCAGTCCCTCCCGCAACAGCGGGCCTCTCCCCGCCGCATTCCCGATTACTGACACATGTGTCTTGCCTCGCCGTTGTCTACGATGCTGCACCGACCTGCCTTTGAGTTGGTGGTCTGTCCCCGCCGGCAAAGGGAAAGGAAATTGACATTCTTTCCCCGTCCTTCGATCGGCGATAAGCCGACCTCAATGACTCGCCTCCCCGGCTCACACCTGCGTGCTGGTGATCCCCCACTCCCGCCGTCGGACCACTTGAACCTCCTGCGATGTGTCGAATGCCCATTGCCCCGACTGCACTCTGTTGCCGCCCAGACCGATCGACCAGAGGCGACCTACCAGGAACGTTGTCTCCCCCCCCTGGTATGCTGCGGTTGTCGATCGATGGCGAGAGAGGCGGCAAACTGTGCACCCGATGCAAAAATGGCTGCAATGAAGGCTCGGGATTAGAACCCCATACGCTCGCCTCAGTCCTTGAAGACACTCCCCGCACAGGAACTGATTATGGACACTGAAAAACACTCTCAATTCTACCCGCTACGTAACCTGTTGATGCATTTGGGGCAGGTATGTCCCCCGCCCGACGACCGACGATGAGTCCTGCGTTGGCGTGGCGAAAGAGGCTCGGGCATGCGTGGGATGTGTACCGAACTACGATTGATTCTGACTGTTCAATGGAGAGTAAGGGACGTATTGCCAGGCCGGTGCCGACAGACTGGCCTGGTATCTCGTGCCTTGGAAGTGTGTGTCCACGTCGTCAACGACGTCCATGTTCGCCGACCCTCCCAAATCGCTGTACAACTCTGAAGTGAAACTGCGGCCCTCCATCCCGGTCACTGGACACCGGGATCTTCAATGCACAGACTGCCGTGGAGGCTAGGCACGTCTAGACAGAATGGCAACAACAACTGCAGCCACGCACACGGCAACCACCGACAATAAAGCGATCACAAGACCCAAACACACTACGAATGTCCAAATGAGCAGTCCAACGATGCTCCTGCACGGGGTGCGATGGTCCCCACTGACAATGATGACCGTCGTTGCGCCCGCTTCGTGATTCACTCCATGTGAACACGTGTGACATGCACAACGTGCAGGATGCTGAAATGGATAGGGCAGTGGCGCCACCTTCACGCACGGCTGCCCTTCGTCCCTTTGCACTTCTCCTCCCTCCCACTCTCGTACTTTACCGGCTCGAATCATTACCCGTGGAAAAACTCGAGGCACGACAGGTGCAATATCGGCATTCAACTGTGCCGATGTTCTCGAAAAAACAGATATGGCGGGCGAGCGGACATCATGCAGCATTGACACGAGTTCGGTTGCGGGAGCATGGGCAGACCACACGTGGCGGAGATTGTTCTGATGTCGGCCTGTCGTGCTTGGTGCATGGAAGGCAGTGCAGGTAACGGAGCTGCCCTTCGGCAGCCTCCCCATGTGCAGCAATCGACGAGCCAAACCATGTACTAGCCAGCCACCG